CTCACTTAAAGTTTGTAACTGCCTGAGGTACTGATCATTCACTGTGTGATTTACTGACAGCACTTACTAGCAAAAAATCACCCACTGAAATTTGGTAAGAACGCAGACATAACAATTATTGTAGATGCAAAATATTATACAAAAAAGTATAAGACTTATAAAAATTATAAATACTTTCCGGTTCAAATTGTGAAGTACATTTACAATAAGGTAAAGTCGCGTAAAATGCACCCATATTTGGTATGGTAAAAGAATAACTAATAAGCAAGAAACAAAGAAAAGGCATGAGCATTGCTTGGTGTTATAAAATCGTGTTATGTTGTCTAAATTTGCCTAATTATGTCTAATTTTCTTTAATTTTCTATAATTTTCTATAATTTTCTATAATTTTCTATAATTTTCTATAATTTTCTATAATTTTCTATAATTTTCTATAATTTTCTATAATTTTCTATAATTTTCTATAATTTTCTATAATTTTCTATAATTTTCTATAATTTTCTATAATTTTCTATAATTTTCTATAATTTTCTATAATTTTCTATAATTTTCTATAATTTTCTATAATTTTCTATAATTTTCTATAATTTTCTATAATTTTCTATAATTTTCTATAATTTTCTATAATTTTCTATAATTTTCTATAATTTTCTATAATTTTCTATAATTTTCTATAATTTTCTATAATTTTCTATAATTTTCTATAATTTTCTATAATTTTCTATAATTTTCTATAATTTTCTATAATTTTCTATAATTTTCTATAATTTTCTATAATTTTCTATAATTTTCTATAATTTTCTATAATTTTCTATAATTTTCTATAATTTTCTATAATTTTCTATAATTTTCTATAATTTTCTATAATTTTCTATAATTTTCTATAATTTTCTATAATTTTCTATAATTTTCTATAATTTTCTATAATTTTCTATAATTTTCTATAATTTTCTATAATTTTCTATAATTTTCTATAATTTTCTATAATTTTCTATAATTTTCTATAATTTTCTATAATTTTCTATAATTTTCTATAATTTTCTATAATTTTCTATAATTTTCTATAATTTTCTATAATTTTCTATAATTTTCTATAATTTTCTATAATTTTCTATAATTTTCTATAATTTTCTATAATTTTCTATAATTTTCTATAATTTTCTATAATTTTCTATAATTTTCTATAATTTTCTATAATTTTCTATAATTTTCTATAATTTTCTATAATTTTCTATAATTTTCTATAATTTTCTATAATTTTCTATAATTTTCTATAATTTTCTATAATTTTCTATAATTTTCTATAATTTTCTATAATTTTCTATAATTTTCTATAATTTTCTATAATTTTCTATAATTTTCTATAATTTTCTATAATTTTCTATAATTTTCTATAATTTTCTATAATTTTCTATAATTTTCTATAATTTTCTATAATTTTCTATAATTTTCTATAATTTTCTATAATTTTCTATAATTTTCTATAATTTTCTATAATTTTCTATAATTTTCTATAATTTTCTATAATTTTCTATAATTTTCTATAATTTTCTATAATTTTCTATAATTTTCTGCAATTTTCTACAATTTTCTACAATTTTCTACAACTTTCTGTAATTTTCTGTAATTTTCTGTAATTTTCTGTAATTTTCTGTAATTTTTCTTTTATTTTCTGTAATTTTCTCAAATTTTCTGTAATTTTCTTTAACTATTCTCTAATTTAGTCTATTTGTCTAATATATTAAAATTATCATGTATGAATGAATTAATGTTTATTTTTAGTATAATTCGCAGCTACTTGTAATTATTTGTGTGGAAATAAAAATTATTATTAACTATTATTGCTATTATTAAATAGCAGTTTGAATTATTAACAAAATCAAACGAAACAAATGTTTTTTTCCGCGCTTCGAACTAAGGCCGACTGGAAATTCCGGGAATTATCCGCCACAATTGTGAATTGGCAACGCCGCATAGAGAGGCCGGGTTACCGTTTGTAGCGCCCTCAATCGATAGAGTGCCCCGAAAATTGGAAGGAATGGCAATGCCTTATCCACGCATTATAAAAAGCAGAAGCTAAACTAGAAAAACAATCGCGTCACGGTTATGTAATTAAAAAAAAAAGGATTAATGTAAAATTGTTGTTTATTTGACTAGGCAGAGAAGTAACAAATTTACTGCCGAGGCTAGTATTTCATTGCCGAGACGAAACCGAGGCAATGTGTGAAACATAATTTTTTCTTCAATTGTTTATACAGTGTGTTTAAAAAAATGGAACTAAAATGAAAACCTCTTTTAAGTATTACGAATACAACTCGTTTTCGTTGTTTTTATAGTTTTATACATTCAATTCTTATACAAATATGGTTATAAAGACTTTGAGAATTTTCTCATAGACACAATTATTAGATTTTGACAAAATTTATATGGGACCACTCCTGAGGTATCCCCTTTCTAACAAAGAAAAAGAATAATTCTGACAAGGTGGTAAATAATTATTACTAAACATACATTAAAAATGAAGAGTTTGGGGATTTTCTCATGGACCCAATTATTAGATTTTGACCAAATTTATATGGGACCACCCCTGAGGTATCCCCTTTCTAACAAAAAAAGAATCATAGAAATCTAACAAGGTGGTAAACAATTATTACTAAACATACATTAAAAATGAAGAGTTTGGGGATTTTCTCATGGATCCAATTATTAGATTTTGACCAAATTTAGATGGGACCACCCTTGAGGTATCCCCTTTCTAACAAAAAAAGAATCATAGAAATCTAACAAGGTGGTAAACAATTATTACTAAACATACATTAAAAATGAAGAGTTTGGGGATTTTCTCATGGATCCAATTATTAGATTTTGACCAAATTTAGATGGGACCACCCTTGAGGTATCCCCTTTCTAACAAAAAAAGAATCATAGAAATCTAACAAGGTGGTAAATAATTATTACTAAACATACATTAAAAATGAAGAGTTTGGGGATTTTCTCATGGACCCAATTATTAGATTTTGACCAAATTTATATGGGACCACCCTTGAGGTATCCCCTTTCTAACAAAAAAATAATCATAGAAATCTAACAAGGTGGTAAACAATTATTACTAAACATACATCAAAAATGAAGAGTTTGGGGATTTTCTCATGGATCCAATTATTAGATTTTGACTAAATTTATATGGGACCACCCTTGAGGTATCCCCTTTCTAACAAAAAAAGAATCATAGAAATCTAACAAGGTGGTAAACAATTATTACTAAACATACATTAAAAATGAAGAGTTTGGGGATTTTCTCATGGATCCAATTATTAGATTTTGACCAAATTTAGATGGGACCACCCTTGAGGTATCCCCTTTCTAACAAAAAAAGAATCATAGAAATCTAACAAGGTGGTAAACAATTATTACTAAACATACATTAAAAATGAAGAGTTTGGGGATTTTCTCATGGATCCAATTATTAGATTTTGACCAAATTTATATGGGACCATCTCTGAGGTATCCCCTTTCTAACAACAAAAGAATCATAGAAATCTGACAAGGTGGTAAATAATTATTACTAAACATACATTAATAAAAATGAAGAGTTTGAGGATTTTCTCATGGGCCTAGTTATTAGATTTTGACAAAATTTATATGGGACCACTCCTGAAGTACCCCCTTTCTAATAAAATAATTGAAATCAGACACCGTGTTAAAGAATTATCACTGAACATACAAAAGAAAAATATACTGGTGAATTGAGAACCTCCTCCTTTTTTGAAGTCTGTTAAAAAGAGAAAATATTGTGACTCAAAAAATACATAATAGAAATGCCAGATGCACTTAACACATATTATATTGATAATATAATTGACTTAGTATCTAATATAAATAAGAACATTAATGATTTTCCCAGTAATTGTTAAAAAGATAATTTAAGTCTTAAAAGGTTTAATCTTGTCAGTTTTATGTACTGTTTCTAAAAAACTGTTTCGAAAATATTACTAATCCATTGATAACTATAATAAATTCTTTTTTAGAAACTAATACAATTCTAGACAACCATGGACCTAAAAATTTCAATAATAACACCAATAACTATGTTCTAATAATATATTATATACAGTAGAATTTTTTTTTAGAGAAAGTAGTATATAATCAACTAATTCAATATCTGAAAGACAATATGTTTAACAGTAATCAATCAGGCTTTTGGGGTAAACACAGGTGGAAGACTGCACTACAATATGCTTTGAATGACTGCAAACAGAATCTTGATAAAAAGTGAATTGCAGGTGCTCTTTTTTTAGACCCACAAAGAATATTTAAAACAGTAAATCAATATCCACTAATTAAAAAATTGAAAAGTTTTGGTATTATTGAAAATGTACTAGAATAACTTATAAATTATCTGGTCAATATTAAGCTTTAAAAATATTTTATCAAAAGAACAAAAAATGAACCAGGTGTATCCTAGGGAAGTGTATTGGACCCATTATTATTCCTTCTATATATTGATGACATTTCTCATATTGTAGGTAGTTACTACATGCATTTGTAGCAAACTATTCACACTCTCTTCTCAATCAAACATTAGATGTACCGAGAGCCTAAATTGGTAGAGCAGTGTATGTAGAAAAATAATAGACTAGTTTGAATTCCTTCTGGGACTGTTTTTAAAAATGTTTATAACAATTTTTCATTCTAAGAAGACTAATAACCTAAGCTAAGTCGAATGGAATTTCAAAACCAACTGTTGAACATAATCAATGAATCAACAGGTAAATTTAGTAGGCTAGGTCATAAAAGTGCATAATAATAAAATATCTACTATCAAATAGCATATTATAAAGCAAAGGACAATTAAACACATTAAGTACTAAAAAATATATGAATAAAACTAACTTGAAAAACAAAATTAAATTCTTTTATATTAGAATCAAAGGCTTTCATAACAGACATCAGGAACTTCCCTATGATTAATTTAAATACATAGAAATTAAAAAACTTACCATGAATTGTTAATTCAGAATCTCTGTTGACTTCATAGAGTCGAACAGCTTCATCAAGTTCCATCTGAGACGAAATGGTGCAAGGATCCCCTTCTTCGTCGACCCATTTCATGGTAAATACTTGATCCAAGGGAAATCTACATATTTCCTTCATTTCCTGACACAGTTGATCTAACGTTATCGTTTGGTCTATATAGGTTACTAGTACTTCGCCATTATACGCGATTTTCGCTCTGATTTCGTTCGAATTTACGTCGACGAATTGTGTCGGCATTTTGAAAGTTTTATCTGTTGTTCTATAGTTTAAAAAACTGCAAAGAAAGAGTAACCATTAGTCATAGCCCCGATTTTAAATTAATTTTTGTGTAGCTGTACATTATTTAAAAAGTTTTATATTTAGAATGCATTTAATCAAAATGATATTAAAATAATGTTATCAACTTACTATTTAATATTTATTCCATCAAATGAAAAATAATGATAATAAACAACCCATAGATAAATTATTAATTTATCTATGAAATGAAACAAGCAACAACCCACAGAACAATTACTTTTAGAATGGAAACTGCAATGTTAAAATTTGAGACAGTTTTGTAACACCCGGTGTGCGTTCTTTGAACTATTTGGCGGAAGTGGCGCCATCTCGCGGTCACTTCAGTTAACACAAAACGCGGGAACATTCAAAATGGTCCTTCAATATTTAGTTTAAAAGTGGTAGTCAAATTAAGATTTGTTCATACCAACTCCTTTTTTACGTTTATTGTAGCAATAAAATTATATTTGTTACAATAAAGCAAAAAATGAGTAGTATGAACCAATCCTAACTTGACTACAAGTTGAAATATTTTTACAAAAAATTAAAAAGCATGATCAACAAAATTAATTTATTAAAACAAAAAAAACATACAAAATAGAATAATTAAATGCAGCGTATTAATTAGCTGGAAAGTTAAGTCATTGTCCACAGAGGTCGAAGAGTTTTATCTAAAACAAAAATAAATATTAATCAACTTATAAATCAAGAAGGGTACAGGAAGAAAAAAGGAGCTAAGCCACATTTTTATCAAAATTGAACTGGCCCGCCCTATTTTGTAAAATACCAGTATTAGCAAATGCAAAACAGTGCATTTAAAATTATGTCCAAGGACTTTCCTACTGTTTGTTTGTCATTTTTAGTATTTAGAATAAAAAATTACAACTGTCTGGTAAATTAAGTGGTAAACTACAATATAATCAGGCAACATTTAAACAAAGTAACATCTTTTTGTAATTAATTACCTTAAAGTATCAAAAGTTTGTATTTAGTCAGTCTAAATTAAATTTGGTTTTCTGAACATTTTGGTAATTGTGACTAGGCCCCTTTTTTTCCTGAACCCTTCAAATCTGTTGGGGAGCACAGAAAGTGAGGCATAAATAAAAAAAGGTATACTGACCATTACTTCCCGGACTATGCTATTTTGTCTTCCACAATCCAATATTGCCATTCCAAACGGATTGAAGAAAGTTTGTACTAGAACAAATACAAAAACAGTAAAAGAAACAATCTGAACTAAATCAATATAAAAATCAAATGTGAGGCATGAATACAAAAAGTACAGTGACTATTACTTCCCTGACTAGGCTGTTTTTGTCTTCAACAATGCAATACTACTGCCACTCCAAACGGCTTGAAAAAGTTTGTACTAGAACAAATAAAAATACAGTTAGATCGCTGCGTGCACCAAGAACTTTAAACATATCTTCAAAATGTTTATCACATACTAAATAGTTTTTACAAATTTGTTGTTTTATTCTTGAAAAATGGACTGCGAACACCCAATAATCAAATTTGAAATAAATCGTTATTAGGATTTCAGAGTGTTTACAAAACAATTTGGCATACAACAATACGATATATTACAGCTTTTATAACTAAAAATGACCACAAAAATTGAAAATAAGCTCAATCGTCAGCAAGATCAAGTAAACAAATTGAACATTTAAAACACAATTGAACAAGACCAAGTTGACAATACAATAAACAATTATTTACAAAATACTTACTATTTATTCATCCAGGATCCAGAGCACACCCAAATACAAACAAATAATAATTATTGACAATATGATATAGATAATCACAAAAAATACAGGTAAAATGGCAAATGTCATTCACCGCGAGGTAATCGATAATGGATGCCTGACAATTGACAAATGACACTCCCACTCTTTCCACCATCAATTGTAGATTTCTGTAAATTGTTGTGTACAGCGCCATCTAGAATCTGTTCCTTGAAACAAAAATATAGTTTCAGCTCGGGCTATACCAGTTACCGATACCTGCAACAACCTTTCTTTATAATTATGACACATGACATATAACATGACATATGACATTTTATGTGATAGGTGCGGTCGTTTATTCAAGCTGCGTTCAAACAATTTTACTCTTTTAATTTTATTTCGAAATTTTCGTTTATTCCAATAAAATAAAGAGCATATATCTCTAGAGTCATAGTGCAAATGAACTTTGTTTTAATACAGGTACAGGGTACATTCTAAATATGTTTGAACCGTATATATGCAACCAGTATATCACCAGTATCATAATCCATGAATTTTTGGCACAAATATTAAGACTAGAGATAAGGAGGCGAAGCGGCATACTAGAAATACGGTTCCAAAAAACGAACGTTAATTGAGGTTTTACAATTCATCACAACGGCGTTGGTGTTGCTAGCCCTGTTAAAAATACATGGGTTCTAATGGGAATACATTTTCTTTTCTAGTAAGTTAAATTTAATGTGTAATTATTGTTGTTTGTTAGTAGGGGTTTATTTATTTATTTATTACCTAGCCTAAGATATAAACAATAACAATCTTGGATCGCTTAGCCCCATCGCCCAAGTTTCAAATCACAGCACAACACCGAAAGATGGCGCCATCTCATGCCTACTTTTGGTACAAGTAATCCCACGCTCTTATAACTTTACTTCGGAAAAATGCTTATTATGTAAAAACTATTGGAAATGAAAAATTAAAACTAGAACTATCGAAAAGAGAACATAATTTTATACAATATAGAGTATTTTTAGCATCAATTTAGAATAAGATGTAATTTTAATTTAAGGGAGAGACATAGAAAACATGTAAAAATTTGGAAAAATGCTCATTATGTAAAAACGAATAGAAATGAAAAATTAAAACTGGAACTAACAAAAAGGGAACATAATTTTATACAATATAGAGTATGTTAAGCATCAATTTAGAATAAGATGTAATTTTAATTTAAGGGAGAGACATAGAAAACATGTAAAAATTCGGAAAAATGGTCATTATGTAAAAATGAATAGAAATGAAACATTGAAACTAGAACTATCAAAAAGGGAACATAATTTTATACAATATAGAGTATTTTTAGCATCAATTTAGAATAAGATGTAATTTTAATTTAAGGGAGAGACATAGAAAACATGTAAATATTCGGAAAAATGGTGATTATGTAAAAACGAATAGAAATAAAACATTGAAACTAGAACTATCAAAAAGGGAACATAATTTTATACAATATAGAGTATTTTTAGCATCAATTTAGAATAAGATGTAATTTTAATTTAAGGGAGAGACATAGAAAACATGTAAAAATTCGGAAAAATGGTCATTATGTAAAAATGAATAGAAATGAAACATTGAAACTAGAACTATCAAAAAGGGAACATAATTTTATACAATATAGAGTATTTTTAGCATCAATTTAGAATAAGATGTAATTTTAATTTAAGGGAGAGACATAGAAAACATGTAAAAATTCGGAAAAATGGTTATTATGTAAAAACGAATAGAAATAAAACATTGAAACTAGAACTATCAAAAAGGGAACATAATTTTATACAATATAGAGTATTTTTAGCATCAATTTAGAATAAAATGTAATTTTAATTTAAGGGAGAGACATAGAAAACATGTAAATATTCGGAAAAATGGTGATTATGTAAAAACGAATAGAAATAAAACATTGAAACTAGAACTATCAAAAAGGGAACATAATTTTATACAATATAGAGTATTTTTAGCATCAATTTAGAATAAGATGTAATTTTAATTTAAGGGAGAGACATAGAAAACATGTAAAAATTCAGAAAAATGCTCATTATGTAAAAACGAATATAAATGAAAAATTAAAACTGGAACTAACAAAAAGGGAACATAATTTTATACAATATAGAGTATTCTTAGCATCAATTTAGAATAAGAAGTAATTTTAATTTAAGGGAGAGACATAGAAAACATGTAAAAATTCGGAAAAATGGCCATTATGTAAAAATGAATAGAAATGAAACATTGAAACTAAAACTATCAAAAAGGGAACATAATTTTATACAATATAGAGTATTTTTAGCATCAATTTAGAATAAGATGTAATTTTAATTTAAGGAAGAGACATACAAAACATGTAAAAATTCGGGAAAATGGTCATTATGTAAAAACGAATAGAAATGAAACATTGAAACTAGAACTATCAAAAAGGGAACATAATTTTATACAATATAGAGTATTTTTAGCATCAATTTAGAATAAGATGTAATTTTAATTTAAGGGAGAGACATAGAAAACATGTAAATATTAGGAAAAATGGTGATTATGTAAAAACGAATAGAAATAAAACATTGAAACTAGAACTATCAAAAAGGGAACATAATTTTATACAATATAGAGTATTTTTAGCATCAATTTAGAATAAGATGTAATTTTAATTTAAGGGAGAGACATAGAAAACATGTAAAAATTCGGAAAAATGGTTATTATGTAAAAACGAATAGAAATAAAACATTGAAACTAGAACTATCAAAAAGGGAACATAATTTTATACAATATAGAGTATTTTTAGCATCAATTTAGAATAAAATGTAATTTTAATTTAAGGGAGAGACATAGAAAACATGTAAATATTCGGAAAAATGGTGATTATGTAAAAACGAATAGAAATAAAACATTGAAACTAGAACTATCAAAAAGGGAACATAATTTTATACAATATAGAGTATTTTTAGCATCAATTTAGAATAAGATGTAATTTTAATTTAAGGGAGAGACATAGAAAACATGTAAAAATTCAGAAAAATGCTCATTATGTAAAAACGAATATAAATGAAAAATTAAAACTGGAACTAACAAAAAGGGAACATAATTTTATACAATATAGAGTATTCTTAGCATCAATTTAGAATAAGAAGTAATTTTAATTTAAGGGAGAGTCATAGAAAACATGTAAAAATTCGGAAAAATGGCCATTATGTAAAAATGAATAGAAATGAAACATTGAAACTAAAACTATCAAAAAGGGAACATAATTTTATACAATATAGAGTATTTTTAGCATCAATTTAGAATAAGATGTAATTTTAATTTAAGGAAGAGACATACAAAACATGTAAAAATTCGGGAAAATGGTCATTATGTAAAAACGAATAGAAATGAAACATTGAAACTAGAACTATCAAAAAGGGAACATAATTTTATACAATATAGAGTATTTTAGCATCAATTTAGAATAAGATGTAATTTTAATTTAAGGGAGAGACATAGAAAACATGTAAATATTCGGAAAAATGGTGATTATGTAAAAACGAATAGAAATAAAACATTGAAATTAGAACTATCAAAAAGGGAACATAATTTTATACAATATAGAGTATTTTTAGCATCAATTTAGAATAAGATGTAATTTTAATTTAAGGGAGAGACATAGAAAACATGTAAATATTCGGAAAAATGGCGATTATGTAAAAACGAATAGAAATAAAACATTGAAACTAGAACTATCAAAAAGGGAACATAATTTTATACAATATAGAGTATTTTAAGCATCAATTTAGAATAAGATGTAATTTTAATTTAAGGGAGAGACATAGAAAACATGTAAAAATTCGGAAAAATGGTCATTATGTAAAAATGAATAGAAATGAAACATTGAAACTAGAACTATCAAAAAGGGAACGTAATTTTATACAATATAGAGTATTTTTAGCATCAATTTAGAATAAGATGTAATTTTAATTTAAGGGAGAGACATAGAAAACATGTAAATATTCGGAAAAATTGTGATTATGTAAAAACGAATAGAAATAAAACATTGAAACTAGAACTATCAAAAAGGGAACATAATTTTATACAATATAGAGTATTTTTAGCATCAATTTAGAATAAGATGTAATTTTAATTTAAGGGAGAGACATAGAAAACATGTAAATATTCGGAAAAATGGTGATTATGTAAAAACGAATAGAAATAAAACATTGAAACTAGAACTATCAAAAAGGGAACATAATTTTATACAATATAGAGTATTTTTAGCATCAATTTAGAATAAGATGTAATTTTAATTTAAGGGAGAGACATAGAAAACATGTAAATATTCGGAAAAATGGTGATTATGTAAAAACGAATAGAAATAAAACATTGAAACTAGAACTATCAAAAAGGGAACATAATTTTATACAATATAGAGTATTTTTAGCATCAATTTAGAATAAGATGTAATTTTAATTTAAGGGAGAGACATACAAAACAAGTGAAAATTTGAAGAAGAGTATAAAGAGAAATAAAAAACACAAAATTTAAATGTAATTGCATTTTTAATTACTAAAATATATATGTACAAAAAACATGTTTACCATTCAATCTCACATTTAGTCACAAATAAAAAAACATTTAAACATAGTAATTTAAAATTAATAATTACCGTTAATAAAATGCACGAGATCAGTCTTAATTCATAAAAGTTGTACTATACAAAAATGCCATTAAGGACTATTATTTCTAACGGGTAAGAAAAATCCTAGTCTCAAGTAATAATGATAATAATTGAGAAATTAAAATATAGAACCATCTTGACTTCCGTTTTGAATGTTTTTAAGTGATTTGTACAATTTTAGTTGAAATTGTATTTTTAACAATTAAATATTGTTTATTTTTAAGTAGATGGCAGTCACTAAAAAAAATTATTTAAGACATGGACGTTTCTTCTTCCTATCCGTTAAAGATGCACTCAAATTAGGATAAATATATTTACTCCATTTGAGGCAAAAATATTTATTATTTCTAAGTACTGGCTCCAATATAGACGAATATACATATACAAAAAAACATTGTGCACTTGACTAGTAACAGCAACAAAATATACAGAGCAGCCCAAAAGTATGAAAAATTTTAAATATTTTAAAAGCAATAAGTAAATTAAATACCTAAAAGGTTATGTTTGAGGACATACGAAGATACTGCGCAATTCGAGTAAAAATTACCCTGCTCAACACGGTGGGTAAAATTTTTTCAACACGATAAGTTTGTCTTTTAAATAGAAACATCTGGGGAAATTTGTTCCGATAAAATGTTCCACATTTAAGCTTTTTAGAGTTTAGACAGTGTTCGGGAGTGTTTACCCCACATTTCTGAACGTACCTCTGGGGTAATTCGTTTCAATAAAACGTTTAGGAGTATCCTGACGCGTTTACCCTACTTTTTTGAACGCATCCCAGCTGTCACCTGTCACTGTAGAAGAAAATCCGTTAAGATTTAAAATTTTGAACAAAAATTAAACAATGACTTTATAAATAACTCTTAATGTTCAAAATGAAGATGATTTTTAAACTTTTTGGATATTATTGTAGTGGATTTTATAATTATATTTCTTTTAACTCTAAATTTAAATTAACTTCCAATTAGATTCATCACATTTTCTAAATTTTATTTTAATTTGTCTTTTAACTGTAGACAAAATTCAATTTGGGGCAATATTAAGGCATAACCCCTTATATTTATACTAAAGTGGCCATATTTTGAGAAGTAAAAAGCGGGACAAATCGTAAACATGGAGATTTTTCGTTGACGAATTCTATTTGCAGTAGTAATGGTTAATTATTGAAGAGCAAAAAAACGTCACCATAAAAGCTTAAAAGTGGCACAAAATCGTTTTTAATCGGACAAAAGTGGGAGAAAATTGTTTAATTGGAAAAAAGTGGGTCAAAATTGTACAAAATCGGGACTAGTGGTTTAAAATCGCCTAAATCGGGTCAGCATAAGCTTCTTGGGGTTCTATTTGAACGACTAAGGGTTTATGTCCTAATCATTGTCTTAAACATTAGGTTTTTCTTTAATTTGTAACTTTATTAATTGTATTTTTTTTTAAATTAAGTTCTGGGACTCAAATTTCATATTTTATATTTACATATTTACACCCACAATATAAGCACTGAAGATGGCGTTATGCCGAAAGCACTTTGCATGTTTTAAATAAAACAATTTTGCACAAAATACAATTTTTTTTTCTAAATTAAATATTCCAAAACATTTAAACGTTTTCATACTTTTGGACTACCCTATATACAAATTATATACATTACCTAAAATTAATTGGTACAAATATTTACATTAGTCAAACATAACTGGTATCGAACCGCTAAGTAGTATGAACAATGACTACAACTTGCTGTTACACCATCGTTACATTCCTCCTTTTCTTTTCGCCGGAGTTAACAGAACTGAGAGATCCTTGCAAGCTTTGATTGAACGGTTCCCTCCTGTGCATACTTTGATAAATAGGATGGACGTGCATTGACGGATGAACGTCATAAACTTCATAGTTAGGAGGGTATCTGTTATCACCAAAAACGGGTAATGGTGGAACCGGTGGCGGCATATGAGATTGGGAATAGGGTTCAAGTATTTGGTGGCCATTTAAACTCATGTGGTCTACGTTAGACATTTGTTCCTCGTTCAGCATTAATCCTTGATGATTCATTATTTGCTCTTGGCTCATATTACCGTCCATCATTGGACTGCGTCTTCTTTCGTGCTCGTGTAATAATTGAGAAGCGCTCCAGGAGTTATAAGGACTTAGAATTTGATTTCTATTAATAGTGTTATTAGAAATCACACTAACTCCTTCGTAATTATTGTCTCTTTGTTGTTGGTGATGTTTTAGCTCTTCGATTAGCTGCTGTTCCTGTTGATTAACTAAGGAATAACGTTTTTTCGTATCATCTTCATACCCATAGTTATTTACTGGAAGTCCAATTTGATGAGGATCGGGAACGTCTTGTCCTACGTAAGTCTGACTAGAAGAATTAGAATTGTTTTGAGGAGAACTAGGAACGATGGTTATCGTCGAATTCAAATTATCTTTATTAATAGCATTGGCTTTTAAAGATTTGGCGTTATCTTTATGTTTCCTCTTGATGATACAAAAATAAAAATATAATATCAACAAAATTACTAATATAATCAATCCAGTAACTACTGGCAAAATCAGTTCCAAACCAATAGGCATACTTTTTGTAATATTAGGCCCTGCAGTCTCAATATCTAACGAATTGACATTGTTTGGCCAATAAGAATTATCATTGGAAGAATGAACTGGTGGTACAGTCGGTGGAGGTGGAGGAGACGCTACTAACACTCTCACCCAGTTAGAAATCGGTCCAGAAATATTATTAACAGTTTTCGAATACGATTTAATAGCAAAATACAACGTCTGATCTAATAAATCTTTTTTTTGATTAAAATCCAATGTAAAAGTCGTTTCCGAACCGGGCGACAAAGGAAACGGTTGCCCGAAATCCCAAGTACTCGCTTTCGTTTCGAATTTTTCCATTATATCGAGAACAGTATTGGCGTATCGAATTTCGTAATGTGAAACTGAATCTCCTCCCATATCGGGCGACGTCCAAGATAACCTAGCTTTTAAATCCTCAGGCAAAATTTGAACTTTAACATCTCCAATACGTCCAGCAATAACTTGATTTGCTGTAGCGATATCTTCTGCAGTTATTATAATTGTTTGCTTTGCAAGTGAACGTTGGAAGGGCGCTAATGGTTGAACTGCGTTTGAACTTATTGAACTTCCACAGCATGGTTCACCTAAAACGAAAGATTGGTGATTATTTAATTTCAAAAAAAGTTTTATAAATTTTACCTTCTCTCTTAGAAGTGCTGAACCAGGAATTCCCATTATCACTCGCCTTAATTTCAAAGTTATACAATCCAGGTCCCCATTCCGAAGCACTGAAATATCTTGTGTAAATTCCATCTCCTTTAGTAACGTCTGGATCACCAGATCCAGTATCTAATAGTTCAATTTTAGATCTTAAAGGCAGAGATCCGTTCGTTCCCGGTTTCGTAACCGTTACATCTACTTTTGCTCCTAGAATTGGTAAATCGCCATATTTAAGCTCCGCTAGAAGTAGTAACGGTCCACCAGGAATGTTTCTGTGCATTTTGAAATCTACTCGTACAACGGGAGAGAATAGAGATCGCGGCGTAGCCATTACTTGGATAAAATGAGGTTGAGGATTTCCTGGATATGGTTCTATAATGTAGGTCCATGTTCCAGTCTTAAAAAGAAAATAAAATAAGCTTCATTTTACTACTACTACAGCGGAAACAAGTATTAGAAATTAAAAATTAAAAACAAAACGACTTCAAAAACGTGCAGATGCCATTACAAGATCTTAACTAAATTTATATGAGACCACCCCCTTGAGGTACCCCCTTACTAACAAAAAAAGAACCATCTAAATCGGACAAGGTGGTAAAGCATTATCGCTAAACATACATAAAAAATGAAGAGTTTGAGGATTTTCTCATAGACTAAATTATTAGATTTTGACCAAATTTATATGGGACTACCCCTGAGGTATCCCCTTACCAACAAAAAAAGAATCATTGAAATCGGACACCGTGGTAAAGAATTATCTACAAACATACATAAAAAATGAAAAATTTGAGGATTTTCTCATGGACCCAATTATTAAATTTTGACAAAATTTATATGGGATATCCTCTGAGGTACTCCCTTTCTAACAAAAAAGAAATATAGAAATCGGACAAGGTGGTAAAGAATTATCTACAAACATACATAAAAAATGAAGAATTTGAGGATTTTCTCATGGATCCCATTATTAAATTTTGGCAAAATTTATATGGGATATCCTCTGAAGTACTCCCTTTCTAACAAAAAAAGAAATATAGAAATCTGACAAGGTGGTAAATATTTATTACTAAACATAAATTAAAAATGAGGAGTTTGAGGATTTTCTCATGGGCCCAATTACTAGATTTTGACCAAATTTAAATGGGACCACCCCTGAAGTACCCCTTTCTAAAAAAAAGAATCATTGAAATCGGACACCGTGTTAAAGAATTAACGATGAACATACATAAAAAAAAATATTGCGACGAATTAAGAACCTCCGCCTTTTTTGAAGTCGGTTAAAAATAAAGGATATAACCCTATATGTCTGCTAAAGGTATCTTGTAGAGGTTAGATAAAGATGTAGAAAGAATTGGAGGTCTGCATGTGGAGCAATATAGATTCAGGTAAAGCAGTACAATAGATTTTATGCATGCTCATAACCATCAACATTCAGAATACATTTAATAGCCAACTATCTGGACGATAGGAAGCTCAATGTAAGAGCAACAGGATAGAAATACATCACATATGGCGCCCTGCGAGGGTCAGTCTTCGGTCTAACTTTAAATTTGTCCGTAGAGGCGTAAAACTGCTAGCATCGGATAGCATACACATCCCGCAAGGGTCAATCCTCAGTCCAAGTTTATAGAATATTTACTATAATAGCAAACGCGGATGATCTAGCTATTGTGACCGTGGCAGAAGATGCTGAATATCTGGAGACTCTGGTAAACGAGATGCTAGAAAAAGTTAGTTGATGGTTGAAGGATAAGAAACTTAAATTGGCTCCACAAAAAACGGAAGATATTCTCTATACAGCACGAACCAACATGAAAAAATGTAACGGTGATGAATTGCTGACAAAACATCAAGTACCTGCTGATCTACTTGAATAGGGAGTTGGACATTATCTGAAGGGTATCAGGATAAAACCGAGAATGTCCATTTTCCACCTAAAACGAGTTAGATGTGTGATCCGTTTGCAAATATTATGTATTTACTTATACCTTAAACAAATCAGGAGAAAACGAATGGTGTCATATTCTACAATGTTGTTTAAAAATATTATATATGGAGAAAACAGGGATTGTCCAACAAAGAATATAATAAACTGGGAATGTCCAGTCGTTTAATACAAGACAAAATGATTACAGCTTAAAGTAAAAGTATATCCCAGAGGAACTTAACATTAAAAAGATGAACAGGATTTTCAAAAATCTTAATCAAATCAAAAAGCATGTTATCTGTCCTATAAAAATATATTTCGGGATCATTTTAATATTGGATTTAGATATCCTAGATCCGATACTTGGAGTAGGTGCAATATGTTTGCGTTTAAAATTAAAGCTGCTGAGAAAGGCTATACAAATGGCGCAGAAATTACAAAGCTTAATACTGAAAACGAGCTTCACTTGCGAAAAGTTTTTATGATCGAATAACTTCTGCTCGCAATATAGCTCGAAGAGACATTGAATCCATATCAATGAACTACCAAGAAAACATTTCCCTTCCTGACTTATCTACCAATGATGTGTAGTACAAACGTCAACTTTCCATGTAGTTTCTTTTCCAATCCCAATCAAATTTGTACAGGGTTATTCATTATAAATTACCCACCCCTTAGCATCGTTATTATTGCCTATGGAAAAAAAAGTTTTAAATAAAAGTTGTGTGGTTATGACTAAATTTCGTTCAAATGCTATTAAAAATGCAGTAGCGTGCAGATTTTAGGGGATACGCAGGAATAATTTTTTTTTATTAATGGAATACCCTGTATATTATTTATTTTTTAGAATAATCCTTTCTTTCTGATTTTAAAAATATATATATTACCCCCACTGTATGCCGTTTTTTAGGTAATAAACGTCAAGTATCTTAGTTAAACTTACCCAACCCTTATCATCGTTATTATTGCCTATAGATAAAAAAGTTTTGAATAAAAGTTGTGTGGTTATATAATATTGTTAAAATGCTATAAAAGATACAGTACCGTGCAGATTTCAAGGAATACGAAAGGAAACATTTTTAATGATATACCCTATATATTATTTAATTTTTGGAATGATCCTTTTTTCTGATTTTAAAAATATATATATGTTACCCCTACCGTATGCTGTTTTTGAAGTATTAAACGTCAAATATCTTAGTTAAACTGTATATATGGAAAAGCTAACATTATTAAAGTAAGCTATGAAAATGACAACTATTATGATTGACAAGTGAGAATTATTTAATTAAATAAAATGGTTTACGGCGAGGAAGAAAAAGTCCAAATATTTACTTGTTATATAAAAAATAACAAAAATAAACGAGCCGCACGAAGAGATTATAGAATGTTGTATCCAAATCGTCCAATACCATCAGAAAATACGTTCAAAAATATTTACCAGAAGGTGAATAATACTTCTAGTTTTAGTAGAAAAATCCGTGTAGTTCAAGCAGGAAGAACAGTTAGATATACTGCTTCATTTCGAAGGTAAACCCATCCATATTTATTCGCGTATAGACTTTTTTGAAACATTGTTTTTTTTTTAGAAAATTCTAAATGTAGTATAAATAATGCCGTCGATCAATTAGGCAAAACTTATTTCAAAATTCAACGTACAGACCATATAAAATTTTATCCGTACAAATTTTAACAGAGGATCATAAAAGAAAAAGTTTTGACTTTTGTCGCCAGATGATTCAAAAGTTGGATGAAGATCCCGATTATTTTAATAAAATATTATGGACTGATGAATCATCCTTTTCTACGGCAGGAGTTTTTAATAGGAAAAATCGAAGGTCGTGGGAAAACAAGCACAACATAAAAAGATTGGTAAAACAAATAAAAAAATCAGGAAAAAAAAACTGTTAGCGTTTGGTGTGTAATTTTTAGAAACAAAATAGTTGGGCCTATATATTACGATTATAATTTAACTGGAGTTTCCTATCTGGAAATACTTATTCCAGAAGCAGAAGATATTCTTTTACAGAATTTTCCGGAAGACGAACTAGATCATATGATTTGGATGCAAGATGGAGCAACTCCGCATAGTGTCGCACCCGTTAGAGATAATTTTTATAATGTATTCCCAGTATGGATAGGGAATAATGGAACTATCAAATGGCCACCTAACAGTCTGGATTTGACCCCTATGGATTCATTTGTTTGGAGATATATAAAAGACATTGTCAATAGCAATAATGATAATAATAGTATTGAAGCCATTAAAGATAGGATTCTACTTGAAATAAACAATCTGAATATGAATAATGAAGCCATTGCCAGGGCAATTATAAATATAAGAAGACGTTATCAATTATGCATTAATAATAATGGTGGACACATCGAACATCTTTTATAAGTTATTTATATTTCCTAAATAAATCTTTGTTCTTTATTTTGTATATTTTTCCTTACTCTAAACAATTTTATTAAATTAAAGAATTGTCACTTGTCAATCATAGTTGTCATTTTCATAGCTTATTTTAATAATGCTTTTTCATATATTGGTTTAACTAAGATATTTGACGTTTAATACCTCAAAAACGGCATACGGTAGGGGTAACATAAATGTTTTTAAAATCAGAAAGAAAGGATCATTCCAAAAATTAAATAATATATAGGGTATACCATTTAAAAAAAAATATTTCGTATTCTTTGAAATCTGCAGGGTACTGTATCTTTTATAGCATTTTAACAAAATTTAGTCATAACTACACAACTTTTATTCAAAACTTTTTATCTATAGGCAATAATAAGGATAATAAGGGGTGGGTAAGTTTAACTAAGATACTTGACGTTTATTACCTAAAAAACGGCATACAGTGGGGGTAATATACATATTTTTAAAATCAGAAAGAAAGGACCATTTCAAAAAATAAATAATATACAGGGTATCCCATTAATAAAAAAAAATTATTACTGCGTATCCCCTAAAATCTGTACGCTACTGCATTTTTAATAGCATTTTAACGAAATTTAGTCATAACCACACAACTTTTATTTAAAACTTTTTTTTCTATAGGCAATATTAACGATGCTAAGGGGTGGGTAATTTATAATGAATAACCCTGTACACGTATCATGAATACACAGCAAAAATGGGAGCTGATGAAGTGTGTTTTTTCTTTTGCATACTTTTTGCGATGATGCAGGGGGACAAAATAAGAACTACCTTTGTTTATTTAACTCACTACATGAGAAACATTTTTCCATAGGACACCACATATTGGAAACCGCAAAAGAGACCGATAAAGCTCTGGAAAACATAAAGAGACCCAAGAGAGGCAAGTAGAAGAATATTGTGTGCAGTTTGGTGGAATCCATAATGCTGTACGGGTGTGAAGTTATCCACATCCACAAATGTACACTGAGAAAAATATAACTCTATCGTAATAGTCATATAACTTGGTTCAAATTACCTGTAGAGACTTTTCATTTGTAGATTTCAATTGGGGAGGTTTCAATACACAGCAACCATACCCGCAATTAACTTTTGCTTTGGGGGTGACATTTAAAAAAAAATCATAGAAGCCACAAATGGCTTTGTACACCTTTCTGCTTGGGATATGTTATGTAGTTTGCTCTTTTCTTCATCCCTGATAGCATGCTGGAGTTTGTCGAGCCGTCTGAGGGGGTGCAATTGGGGATGAAATTTAAAAAAATCACAGAAGCCTCAAATAGCTTTGTACACATTTCTGCTTGCGATATGTTATCTAGTTGGCTCTTTTCTTCATCCCAGATACCGTGTTGGAGTTTGTCGAGCCGTCTGAGGGGGTGCAATTGGGGGTGAACTAAAAAAATTAAAGAAGCCACAAATGGCTTTGTACACCTTTCTGCATGCGCTATGATATGTAGTTTGCCCCTTTCTTCGTTCCAGATACCATGTTGGAGTTTGTCGAGCCGTCTGAGGGGGTGCAATTGGGGGTCAAATTAAATAAAAAATCATAGAAGCCACAAATGGCTTTGTACACCTTTCTGCTTGGGATATGTTATGTGATATATTTTAAATTTCGGAAAACTTATATAAGAACATATTGTCCATATTTCTATTATTTCAGCTCAGAATCACTTCTCTTTTTCCGGATGTAATATTTTTTATTTCCACAGCTTAATGATTTGGAATTTTAAAAATAAAAAACATAAAATCGAGAAGGACCCTCTTAATTTTGACAAAAAGGAAAAACATGAAGAAATCTTTATGAAAAAAAGGGCAAACTACATAACATATCCCAAGCAGAAAGGTGTACAAAGCCATTTGTGGCTTCTATGATTTTTTATTTAATTTGACCCCCAATTGCACCCCCTCAGACGGCTCGACAAACTCCAACATGGTATCTGGAACGAAGAAAGGGGCAAACTACATATCATAGCGCATGCAGAAAGGTGTACAAAGCCATTTGTGGCTTCTTTAATTTTTTTATTTCACCCCCAATTGCACCCCCTCAGACGGCTCGACAAACTCCAACACGGTATCTGGGATGAAGAAAAGAGCCAACTAGATAACATATCGCAAGCAGAAATGTGTACAAAGCTATTTGTGGCTTCTGTGATTTTTTTAATTTCATCCCCAATTGCACCCCCTCAGACGGCTCGACAAACTCCAGCATGCTATCAGGGATGAAGAAAAGAGCAAACTTCATAACATATCCAAAGCAGAAAGGTGTACAAAGCCATTTGTGGCTTCTATGATTTTTTGTTTAATTTCACCCCCAATTGCACCCCCTCAGACGGCCCGACAAACTCCAGCATGGTATCAGGCATAAAGAAAATAGCTATCTTCACAACATATCTCAAGTAAAAAGGCGTACAAAGCCATTTGTGGCTTCTGTGATTTTTTTTTAATTTCATCCCCAATTGCACCCCCTCAGACGGCTCGACAAACTCCAGCATACTATCTGGGAGAAAGAAAAGAGCAAATTACATAACATATCGCAAGCAGAAAGGTGTACAAATCCATTTGTGGCGTCTATGATTTTTTTTAAATTTCATCCCCAATTGCACTCCCTCAGACGACTCGACAAACTCCAGCATGGTATCTGGGATGAAGAAAAGAGCAAACTACATAACATATAGCTTGCAGAAAGGTGTACAAAGCCATTTGTGGCTTCTATGATTTTTTTTATTTCACCCCCAATTGCACCCCCTCAGACGGCTCGACAAACTCCAGCATGCTATCAGGGATGAAGAAAAGAGCAAACTACATAACATATCCCAAGCAGAAAGGTGTACAAAGCCATTTGTGGCTTCTATGATTTTTTTAAATTTCACCCTCAATTGCACCCCCTGAGACAAAGAAAAAGTTAATTGCGGGTATGGTTGCTGTGTATTGAAACCTCCCCAATTGAAATCTACAAATGAAAAGCCTCTACAGGTAATTTGAACCAAGTTATATGACTATTACGATAGAGTTATATTTTTCTCAGTGTACATTTGTGGATGTGGATAACTTCACACCCGTTAATGCTGTATGGTGCTACTACAGCAAGCCATTCACAAAAAGTTCGTAATTGTTCATAGAAGAACAGCTATAAGAATGGTCTAACAAAAGCTTTGCTGGTTTTAACAAGAACACTGCCTATAGACCCACATTCTTGTTCGCTATTTTCGTGAATATATTTCATTTTAGAACGTGTTTTATTAAAATTTAAAAAATTACCTACCTCTGAAATATTTGAGTTGAGAGTGATCATCTTGAAATCAATAAGCCTGTCATTTCTAGCAGTGAATACTTGTTGGCTGGGACTAATCAGTTTCAATCCCTTAATCAAGGGCGTAATCGTGTTGTGCGTGTAAAACGTAAATTGAGCTGGTTCGCCCATATTTGGTTCCAACATGAAGCTGCCAGTAATGGAGGTTCTGCCGTCGTCAGTAATAATTTTTCTGTGAATTTCCATGGGTAACTCAATTTGATTTCTTAAACTAAACTTCATTACAATGTCGTATAGGACGTTATGCAGTTCAAAGTAAGTAGTTAAAAGCGTTGTGTCGACATTAAGTTTCTCTTCGAATACTGTATAATCTGATCCACCAGTTTCTGTAGATAGTAAACTAAGAGTATTCTGTCTAAGCACATCAGGATAGTTGATGGTTGCTACTTTGATTTTGAATTTTTTTAAAGCATCAATAGTAGTTTTCATTTGATTATCGACTGTCATTCCAGTTGCTATTACTACTATGACGTTATTTGCTGCACCATCAGATTTTGTTTTTTCCTTAAGCATATTCATGGCTTCTGTAATGGCGCAATGTAGGCACACTTTTAGCATACTTTCACTTGGTGTATAAGGAATAGCTGAATAAAATTTATCCCTGTTATTATTTCCAAATCTATCGTATCCATTGACTTTCACTGGAACGATATTTAAAGCTCTGATCGATTGGGTAGGATCAGAAAGTACCATACCAATCTCAGTATTATCTGGTAGAACATATCTAGCCCACTGTCTCATTGCTAATCGCAAATAACTCCAAGATTCTCTTTGCATCATATCTTTCGAGTTTTCGATTACAAATACGTATCTAGTAATATTTTGCTTCTTGTAAATAATTCTTGGTGTGGTGTCTGTAATTTGGTTACCATTAGGGGAAGCTTGAGAATTCTTTGTGAAATCTTTGTGATTTATTATCACGTCTAAAACGCTTCTTCTTTCACAAAAGAAGTTATGTTTAGTCGGAGCTAAACGATTATGATTTCCTTCGTCGCAGAACATTGAGACTGATGGGATTTCTGGTGCAAACATTATACTTGATCGAGCTTTTTCATCTACCATCTTTGTTAAGTTGTATACTGCGTGCTTATCGGTGCAAATTCTGAAAATAAATTATATTCTATACAAACGGAGAAAGAAAATTATTGGTCAGATAAATAAAAGACAAGTTGGTGGAAGATTTAAACATCCAAATTTGATATTGCTGCTTTTATTTCATCACCATTTCCGAACTAATTGATCTACAGGTTTCAACATTTGATAACTCTTTTTTAAAAAGTGTAGAAATCTAATTTTGAATACTACGTTTTGAAATTTTAATAAGTTTTAAAGTTAGAAGGTGTCAAAGTTGAACTTTGATTTTTTAACAATTCGATATTGTTGCCTTTATGTCATCACTATTTCCAAATTCATTATGGAAAAAGTTCCTTTTCAAAATATATTCGAATTATAGTGCCTTACCCATTTTCTTTGATTGGCAAATCTGAGCATCCGGTGACTTTTACTTGTTTCGTTTGATCATCCAGATAACAAATAGGATAGATGGGATCATTGTAATAACCATCTTCATCAAAGACCCCAAAACGATACTTGGCAAATTCTCTTACTAATTTTCTTCCTGCAACAGAAATATTTCATTAAAAAAAAAGTAAAACAATATTAATTATATATGCAACATAGACATATTGCAACATATGTCTACGCTTTACGTTTATTTACGGATCTGGGACATTAAGAAGAGAAAATACTTACCTAAATTGTTATTTTTTTTCAACAACTCCTCGTATCCTAGATAAATTTGATCTCCTGGTTGACCACATCCGAGCGACTGTTGGGTCCAAATACTTCCTCGGACAGGATCATTAGGAAGCACGGTGATGTCAGAAACTTCCCCGGAAGATGACAAAACGGACGAGGCCACGCAGGAGTCTGGCCAGCTTGTGGGAAGTAAAACTGTTGCTGAACGTAAGTATGCACGGCTGTCCAAGGCGGAAAAGAGGTATTGTGAAGCACTCGTCAGTGTTTTCTGAAAAAAATAAATATAACATTATAACAAGAAGAAAATATTCTAGGGCTTGAGCCCTTTTGGTGCCCCCCGACAGAGCTTTGGGCGCCCCAAAAAATCTTCGCTCACGTTACGCCACTGGTATATAGCCATTTATTCTACTAAAAAATATACAATAAGGAATAAATAATAACTAGTTGTTAGTATCTTGAAGAATTGATGACCAGCGACGTAATATTGTTGTGATCTTGAGATCTTATAATTTATCTAAACATGAACAACAATTTCTAATTTGCAAGCAATTATACAATTCAAGGTTGTGTACATCTCGGTTTCACAATGCTTCAAAGATGTTATTTAAAGAATGTATCGATTGTATCATTAATTGAGGTAACTATATCCTGCAATTTAAAGAATCTGTTCATCCATAAACAATTGCAAATTAAAATAACTAAATAGTAGGCGTAAACTAGTATTATGTTGTAGATATGCACTGATAATTTCGAGACTATGTTTACTATTGTTTGATTTTGAAAATTTCCTGTACGTTGATCTCTCTGATTAGTTATTACTCATTTTAGTTTAAAAATCATTTATCTATTATTTAAGATATAAGTTACACAAATCACAACCACAGTGATAACAGTTTTGACTAGATTGTGTTACCTGGGATTCCCGGGAATATTATTTGTAAATCATGCCACTTCCATTGACAAACACAAAAACTAAGATTAGAACTTTCAATAGTTAATTTGTGCAACAAGATTGGATATGACAGCTATATAATACCAGACAAATTAAAATGCTGACTAGAATATTTACAAATACACTATATTCAAGCTAATATTGAATTCTGAGCTTTGATAAAACTCTTTTGTTAGAAGATTTTTAGACCAATCTCCCCAATTAATTTTAAGAAACCAATAAATTTTCGTAATACAATCTATGATTTTACGATTCCTATGCGGTCAAACAACGACTAAAAATTTAGATTCTTATATAAGTTACATCAAGCCAAAAGTCTTTCGTGACTCTTATTCACAAATAATAAAAACAAAATACCAAATCGCCCTATAAATATATCAAGCCGTTATGTTCGAGACCTGGGACAGGATGGAATCGTGACTAGAACTCACGATTTCGAGCATCTCTTACGAATCAACGCGAAATATTACTCTCGATTGCTTTCGGAGATAAAAGTTTCGTTCCTTTGTTCCGATACTAAAAACTTCAATGATTACTCTAAGCAAAAACACTCGTTTCTAAATAATTCAATTTACAAGTTTTGAATGGCAATAATAAATTCGTACTTGCAGAAGAAATAAAACAAGGAGAAATAAAAAAGAAAAAGCATCTAATAGTAAAAATCTGAAATATGTAAATATACAATTCTCGCACACATACAAGAAAAACAAAGAATACAACTAAAGTGGGATCTACAAACAGGCCCGACGAGAGGGAGGCGCAGGATGGGGGCAAATCCTCGGTCCCGGGGCCCAGGGGGGCCCGGCAACTTTAAAAAAATAAGTTGTAATATGTGGGGGCCCTTGCCAGTGTTTTGACTAATAGTTATTTAAAAATAAAATTCTATGGCAAATGACTTAACAGTTTTCTTTCCTTATTATATTAGTAAATTAATGATTTATTAGTGTGTTAGATTGTAAAACTAAGAAATAAACCAAATTTCTTATATTTTTTGTAATTTGTTGCTTTATTTAAGGTAAAAATATTTCTCATTCTTATGGTATTGTGGGATCCAAGCTACGCTACTGATTATTCAGGTTGATGACAGCTGCTGCTGCCCTGTATGCAGTTTTATTTGATTTCTGGCAATTTTTATTATGGTATTTAGATCATTTAGCTCGACCACTCTTCAGATCTCAGTACAGATTTAGTTTAAAAAAAACTTACAGTGTTTTAGAAAGGTATATTATAAGTAGGTGTCTTGACACAAACAATATTAAATAAGTAAGTAGGTTTGTAATTAAACAGTAACTCAAAACCTAAGTTGTAAAAGTATGCACCAAGAAAATTTGAAATTATTCAAAAAAAAATTAATGTTATACTTATATTTTTATAACCTTCCTCGTATATGAATCGAACATTTAAATATTTACGACAGATGGATCATAGTTTAAACTATTTAACAATTTTTGTCAAGAATGAAATTTTCTGAGAAAGTAAAAATAAAAAAGTTTAACATATTTTGTGTGACTTTTTGCATCCCACTACATATTATGAGCTATAAATAAAATTTTCGTATTCTTACAGTAAACCTTAAGAATCTGTTGGAAAATGAACTTTTTGAAATGCCCTCGTATAACGTTTTTACCTTATTTAAACCAATGACATATATTTATATGTCATTGATTTAAACTAGTTTATTCTTAGACAACCAATTATGTCAAATAGTGTATTGTATGTTGCATAACTACCTTTTCAAACACTTAATTATATTCATATAAAAAATGCATTTATAATATTTAATTTATGTCTCAATTAATGTAATATAATTTAACGATTTTATCTTTTTATTAATATCAATGTTTTCTATAAAAAATTATCTTTTTTTGTGGATCTATTTTTCGATCGTTTGATGTGCGTTAGATTACTGCGCATAGGGATGAAATGACGCTAACGCTTCGCGGAGGCATTCGTGCGGCGTCTTCATTTTAAAAAACATCGTTACTATCGATCTTAACGATATAGATCTTAATTTTATTGGTAAATTATATATGTAGTGAATTAATTATTTATTGTGTCTTCTCCCTGGGTTGAAGTTCAAGTTATGAATGGAATTATAGGTAAATATAACATTGAATATTGTAATATTTCACTAAAAGCTGATCATCAGTAACGCCATTTTTCAAGTCTTCTGTTTGTATGTTTGTCTCTACCAGTTACTAGATGAATCGCTTATTTATGAAACATATTAAGTCACCAATTTGTCAAAATTGATTTTACCGGCTAAACCAGCTTTAAAAATATAGATGCATCGATTATAATCAAACATTTACTTACCATAGGTATACCTAGGCCAACTGCATTTCTTTTACAAAACTTACGTAGTAGGCTTTAAGAAGGAGAGTATTTTTCAAATATACCATCGGAAACCCCATAAATTATTGTTTTTATAAAAAATTTTACGTATTAAAGGCTTATGAGGATCATTAAGTGATCATTTATGTAAACTTACTCATTAGAATTAAGAATTATATCTGTCAATTCAAATATGCGCGGTGTTGCCAAGTATAATTAAAATCAACGAAAATGAAATATAAAAAAATACCTTATTTTTGACATATTTCTATACACTTTAAAAAGCACTTTTATCATGGAGATAGAAAGGGAGACGCTGTTATGTGGTCCAAGATGGGTTTACTTCCGCCATATTGCGTTGACGAGTCCTTCAAAGAGCTAAACGTTTTTTTCTATTTTTATGCCGTTTGCAAACTAAATATATTGTACATATTGGTTGCTTGTGCTCAACGTATTTTTAGCAACCTAATAGATATTTATATGAAGAAATTATTTGAAATGACATTCCACAACTAAATATACAACATAGTAAACAATGTACAGGGCCGTATTTGAGATAGTAATCGTGCTTTGAGTGAGAATGTTGTAACCATATTAAAATTTTGTAAAGATGAATTAAAAATTAGAGAATTTGCTGCAGTTGGTGCAAAAATTAGATTTAAAATAAACATAAATATTCTCTTTGTTATCTTAAATTCTAAAAATTTTCTTCAGTTTCATTATAAAAAGCATTTGTCTATAAAAAAATTATGAAGGTATGAAAACTTTTTTAAATGACATGAATAAGTATATATAGTGCCTTAAAATCACGTAATTTTCAACACCGATTCACATTTCTCTCAAGATTTTCATGAGAAATGTCATACGTCATCGTAAAAACAGTATTTTTAAAGCCAGTAAAAACAAGGATATATTTTTACGAATTCTCTTTGCAGTAGTGAGGGTTTGGTTCATTTAAGAGCAAAAATATACAGTGTGGAAACCACTTATGGAATAAAATTCTTTATGTCATTATTTTAGAAAATTATAAAAAATGCCGAGACATGTCAACTTTTGAATTGAGTTGTGCGTTATGTAAACATAAATTTAAATGTACAGGGTGATTCACGCAAGTATGCCATAGTCGGTGTTGTTTTTTTTTAGTGAAACACCCTGTATATTTGCATACATACATTATTCAGTTTGTTGGAATCGGTTCATTAAGAGGATTTCAAAAATATGCAAATATACAGGGTGTTTGATTAAAAAAAAATAACACCGACTATGGCATACTTGCGTGAATCACCCTGTACATTTAAATTTATGTTTACATAACGCACAACTCAATTCAAAAGTTGACGTGTCTCGGCATTTTTTACAATTTTCTAAAATAATGACATAAAGAATTTTATTCCATAAGTGGTTTCCACACTGTATATACTAAAGAGTGGGATGTTACGTCACCATAAAAATTGAAATATTTATAATTTTTTCGTTAGACAAAACCGGGACCCATGTTAAATCGGGACTAGTGGTGTAAAATTGGGACAAATATTTTCATTTATTGACAAAAAAATAAAAAGCTTATAGTATATCCCTCTATGCCCTATGGATGTTAGACGTTTGTATTTAATGTAAACAAATAATAAAAAGGAGCTATTACTTTAAATTATCTACCTTATTTTAGTAAAATGTGTAGTGTGTACAGTGCTACAAGTCATTTCTAAATTAAAATGTATATAGACATACGTAATTTATCAAATGTGTTTGGTACAATGTGAAGAAAGTGTGCACTGTTTCATATTAAATCTCCAGTTTTTTAAAATCCATACCATTACTAATAAAGAAAAGCCGAGGAAAAACCTCACTCAATTTCCACTTTAGAGCTAATAAAAATTAACCAAGAAATTAAATGTCAAAATTTCTATCCTTTTTTACTTTCCTATCTGTATACAGATATAAGGAAAGTATAGGAATCATGATTTTTTTCGACCTCGAGTTTT